AGCCACTTCCTGTCTACATGAACTCCGGCGATGGCGGTGCGGCGTTCCTCAGGGCCGGTTTCCTGATGGTGACAACAGTGGACCGTGTCTGTGTAATGTGTGTTGAAATGGCCACTTGTAGTCTCCATCAAGGTGACAACACCGGAGAAATAATCGGGAGAGAGAGACAGAGTGTTGTCAACGTCTCTGGCAGTCTCATGTAGCATGTCTCCAGTCTCTGGCAGTCTCATGTAGCATGTCTCCAGTCTCTGGCAGTCTCAAGGGTGGAGCTAGGTGCTGACTGACAAGCTGACAATGATGATAGCCACGCCTCCTGTAACATCTTCTCCTCCCACTGTAGCGCAAGCAGCCATTGCTTACACGAAGGTGACAACTCTGCTCTGCATTCAGGACCGGTGCAGCATCGTTGTCACCCCGTCACAGGAAGCTGCATTAGGTGACCTCTCTGGCAGGATCTACAGGTAACTGAGAGACTTCGGAAGGGGACTAAGAGAAAACTGTCGGTGCTGCAGAACATTTAGTTTAATGGAGAGCCACCTGGGAGCCCTTCCTGTGAGGGGCCCCGATCCTTTACTATGTTATAACCTGAGGGAAAGCAGTGACATGCACCCCATGAGGTCACAGCAGGCCCGGGTGCTGTGCCAGTAGATCACATGGTCTCTGGCTACCAGGAGAACTGTGTATGTTTGAAGTCATTAGAGTCTGCGGAGAGTCTGTTGTTTCGAATGAGAGAGACACGACCGCCGCTTGTAAAGTGAATGTGTCACCGGCGGAGGACATGATGTATTCCTGGTGTTTCATCGCCCTCTAGTGTACGACAGCGCAAATGTCACCCCGTCCCCACATCAGGGGGCCCCCATGCTGACCCGTGCCCACTGCCAAAAGCACCTACCATGGTCATGTGACATCAGAACCGGAGCACGGAGCGATGGAAGGAGGTGGCCCGGTCTAATGTACATCATGTGGGTGGTCGGGGGTGTGTCACTTACCTGGGGAAGAGATGACACCAGGATGCATTATGGGAAGAAGACAAGCCGGGGGAGGCGGGGTCAGTGTGATGGGCAATGTTCTGCTGGGACACCTCGGGTCCGGCCATTCATGTGGATGTCACTCTGACACCGACCTAAACATTGTCCTTGACCCCGCCCCCCCTTCATGGACATGGTATTCCCTGACGGCAGCGGCCTCTCTCAGCAGGATAATGAGCCCGGCCACACTGCACATATGGATGAAGAATGGTTAGGGCCCCGGGCCCCCCACCCCCGGCTCTTAGAGGACCCGTCGCTGGGCAGTCCACCCCACACAGTGACACCCGGCTGGTTCAGTTCACTTGACTTCATTCAGGAAGAATCGGACACATTGTAACGCTCACGTGTGGGCAGAGTTGCCACCTGTCCAGGATTCACCCGGACAGTCCGGGTTTTAATATGAATAAACCACGCCTCATTCTCCCCAAAAAAATGTCAGCGTGCCGCTAGAGTGTTCGGGTTTTGCGTGAAAAAAAAGTGGCAACCCTAGCGACCCGGCCGCTTGCCGGCGCTCTCCTCAGCCCCCTGGGCTGGCCAACCATGTCGCGGAACCAAGTGGCTCACCGGGCTGGGGAGGAAAACGCCGGCAGGAAAGGCAGGCAAGGGTGATCAAAGGCCAGCAAGAGCCCACGGGGCCCAGGGCCACGTAGCATACCTCCCCGCCAGCGGTTAGAGCGGCGGAAGTCAGGGGGCTC